GGGGGGGGGGGGGGGGGGGGGGGCACTCATGCAAACGCATGCCGTAGTCGTTAGACTTTCGACGTCGCACCCCTGCAATGCCCGGACGGATTGATCTGCGAGTTTTTCGCTATTTAGCCCAGGCAACTGTTCACAAGGATGATTCAGAAGCTGGTCAGCATGCTTGCGTTTGGAGAACGAAGGGGGGCGGGGGGGGGTTAATACACACAACTGGCGCCGTTACGTCAACGTGGGACCGGCCGACTGATCGGTACGGTTTTGCGCGGTGCAAGGCAACGCTGCGCAATACAAGCGTGCCGCTGCTTACTGCTCGACAGCGGCGACCACCCGCCCGTAAAAGACCCCACACCGCCAACCCACTCACCGGCCCCCGTCAGCTTGCTCCTGCACCCGTGCGCGCTCGCGACCTCGCACACCCGCTCCAGCGCCGGGTGCCCCACCCCGAGCGCGCAAAGCAGCCGGTGGTTCATCTCGGCGAGCTCCCCGACGCACTCCGCCGTCAGCGGCTGCGCAGGTGCTGCAGGCGCCGCCGCTCCGTCGCCGCACTCCGCCGCCGCCACCGGCGTAGCCGCGGGAACCGAAGCGGCGGCGCGGTCGAGAAACTCGGCGGCTATGGCGCCGATGGCGTCGAAGGTGGCGGTGGTGGCGGGCCGGTGGGCCTCCAGCAGGCGGCGCACGCCCGCAACCAGGGCCCCCGTGTTCTTGGGCACCAGGGTGTTGGTCAGGAGGATCGGCAGCGGCGGGAAGCCGGGGATGGGCTGGGGAGACGAGGGATGGGTGGGTGGGGGGGGGCAGCGGCTATCGAATGTTGACACAACTCGGGTACCGGCACCTTTTCATCAGCGGGACCTCGTTTACGTACGTGCCTTCAAGCCTGGATTGGAGGGCAACGCGTACCTTCGTTTCCAGCGGGGCAAGATGTGGGTAAGCTTCACGCGAACATATCGGGGTCGCGAAAGACACCAATCCAGGCACGTCTCCAGCAAACATTCATACCCGCCTGAAACAAAGGCGCCGCCCTGCTCTCTCTCTCTCTCTCTCTCTCTCGCCAAGCCCCCCACACCCCCCAAAACCCCACGTGTGGGAAAAAAATCCTTCTCACCTCCGTCGTGTTCGCGGCGCCATCCATGCCCTTCACGAACTTTATCGCCCCGCCGTAGCAGCTGACCGTGTTGTCGAGCCCCGACGGGGTCCCGTGCAGCACCGTCTCCCCGGCGAACGCCCACGCGTTGATCCGCTCGAGCTCGGAACCCGACGGTCGCCGCGAACCGCCCCCCCCCCGTTCCCCCCCGCCCTCCACCGCCGCTCCCGTCGCCGGGTCCCCGGCGGAGGGGGCGGGGGCGGGGTCATCGCCGCCGCGATTACACGGCGCCCCCCCCCCACACACGTCGCCGTTACTAGCCTTACCTCTTGAGATGATGTCTGCGAGTCGCGTGAGGGCAGCCGACGTGGCCACGCAGAGAGCGGCCGAAGACCCCAGGCCCGCCCCTACCGGGAGGGAAGCGCTAAACGCCCTCAAGGATAGCCCCCGGGCCCCGGCCCTGTGACACACAAAAAAAAAAAGCCGCGCGCGGGGAAGGATAAAGGCTAGGGTTGCGATGGGCGGGATGGTGTGCTTGTTTTTCGGCGCGTGCGTTGGTGCATCCTGGGTTGTTTTACAACAAGTCCATCAGGCAATTGATTTCTGGACCCGCATTTGTACAAAGAGGCGGGAGGGTCGACGTCGAGTGTGGGGGATGCATGGCGTGTAGCGCTCGAGGCCGCCACGCGTCGCGCTGCACGTTTTGAACTCGAGTACCTTTGTGCGTGTCACGGCGGGATGCTGCCAAGTGCTTGGAAAGAGGAGGAGCAGGACGAAGCGTGCATGGTGTTTCGAGATGGAGATGGAATAGGCTCTTCATCGCGCATTCAACCAACTTCCGCACGAGCTCCAAGCTTCCGCCATCAGCTCAAAACATAGCCGTGGGTTCAACAGCAACCAACACACGCAACAACACAAAGCGGTGGGTGGGAGTACCGTGCGGCTTCCGGCGTCGAGGCACGACTGCGGAAAGCTATCTATGTCTCACCCAGCTTTTCCGAGGAAAATCTCGGGGACTATCGCGAGCGCCAGGAACACAAGCGACACGAGAGCCTTCTTCCCGTCCTTCGACCGCCCTTCGTCGCTCAAGAAGGCGGAGATTAGGTCCAGGTGGGCCTGGTCGGGAGGCGTCGGCTTTGCTCCGGGGGCTACGCAAAATCATGCGACGTATGCACACGGGGCGAAAAGGGCGGTAGAAACAAGTTACAGCGCGATAATAAAATAGACGAAAAAAACGTCTTTCTTCATGCGTGCGACACGCAACCAGGCCATTTACGTTTGCCAAGGTAACTGTTTGCACCAAATCCTGACAAACCGAGAGCCATTAAGTGGCGTTCATCGGACCCTCAATACGGCATTGTAACTTGTCCTCGTAAGCACAGCATGCGAAAGGTATTAAGAAACGATCCGCAGCGATGGATATCGCGCAGCACGACCACGAGCACAAACGCAACGCCACGGCGTAAAAAAACAAAACGTGCTCAAGGATACGGCGGATAGAAGCATGCCGTATCGGCCAACCTCGGGTCTGGCATCGACGCGGCGGGCACGGCCCGCCAAGCGAGAGCCTGCAAAAACGCCTCGCTCGAGCAAGGCGGCCAAAAAACGTCTTTCGTTTGGCGGCAACAGAGACAGACAGACAGACAGACAGACAGACAGACAGACAGACAGACAGACAGACAGACAGACAGACAGACAGACAGACAGACAGACAGACAGACAGACAGACAGACAGACAGACAGACAGACAGACAGACAGACAGAACCTTCCGCCAAACAACCTTCCGCCAAACAAAGAGAAAAACAAACGTATGCACGCGCATCATACATAGACCGCCAACCCCCTTTTCTTCTCCCCCAGATAATAACTAGTGAGTCTACGGCCAACCTACAGTACACACTCACCGACCGCTAGGGAGAAGCCGAACGCGTCCGACAACTCTGGCGTTGTCCTCCGGAAGCTCACGTCAAGATCGGGCAGCTCTAGCACCAGCTCAGGCTCTACTGTGGTGCTCTATACGGAGCGAGGGGGCAGGGAGAAGGCGCGCCGGGGGGGGCGGGGGTTGCGGCAAATGAGTGACAGAGGCACGGAGAGCCTTTGCGGGGGATATGTAAGAGTACACTATTCTACGACGCGAGTGTATCGCCGAGAAACCAACCCCCGATGTTGCTGCGTGAGGGAACTACTGGCAGCGAGAGGGAGAGGTGGCAGTCACGCGTACTTAAACAGCCGAAAGACCTATCACAAGTAGACATCGGCAGCGGCAGCAGAAAGCAGCGGCAGCAGCAGCGGCAACACCCGAGACATGAAACGGGTCCGCGCACAGCACCACCAATGTAAGCAGGCTAAACGGACGGCAATGACGATGACGACGACAAAAGCTAACAGAAAACAGCACCACCAAACACAACAAAACAACAAGAACAACGACAACAACAGCAACCGGCAACAAAGTTCCTCCGTTGAAAACTCAAAATCTTACCGCCGTTACGACGACGCGAAGGTCCGACACCGCCGCCCCAACTGCGGTCTTCCCGTACACCACCGCGTGCTCCCCGAACAGAATTACTTTTCCCGGCGCCGAAGTGACCACCCTAACCTCGGACGCAGTCCCGACACAAGCGCGAGCCACCGGCTGGTTGGACACCTGAGTTGTGTTTTTCGGCAAAGGAAGGCAAAGAGTCTAAAGGCTTCCTTCCCACTATGGGCGCATTCCCGACACAAGCTCGCGCCACGGGCTGGCTGGTTGGAAACCTGAGCTATGTTTTTCGGCAAAGGAAGCCAAGGAGTCTACAGGCTTGCCTCCCACTACATCGAGACCTGAGTTGTGTTTTTGTCGGCAAAGGACGGGAAGGAGTCTAAAGGCTTCATCCCCACTGTATGAGGCAGGCGCGTCGGTTGCGGGAGAGGCTAAGGAAGCAAAGGTTGGGTGCTTCACGTTGAACGAGAGACAAAATACCGCAGTAGGTGACGCAAGATATCGCACCCCCTGGACCGATGCTTAAAGCAATACACAGGAGAGAGAGAGAGAGAGAGAGAGAGAGAGGTATAATAGTGACAAAAATTGGCGGCGTTGGATAATACGTCTCGTCGAGAGCTTTCCGAAAACGGACACTCGTTCGGTTTGTCCATCCGTCGTCGCCGTCGACTACAAATCGAGCTTTAAAATTCGGTCCGGGGTGCGTGATATCTTACGTCACCTAGATGCTGCCTTGCATGCGGAACGACTTGGTATATAGAGTCGGAGGCCGCGAGCGGGAGAATACGGCCAACACACGCGGGTCATCAATACCATACCATTCGTTTCCGGTGATACGGATCGCGAAGGGGGGTACATAATGCATTGTCTGAGGCGGGTTCCGAGACAGGGGCACACCGCCGTGGAGGAGGGTATGGCGGACTTTGCTGGGGCTTGGGGGCACACAAGAGACCGTTGAGGGCATAATTTCGAAGCGCGAGTGCTTCATTCCCATCTCCGCTTAAAAACCGGCCCGGTACACGGGTGTGCTCTTGAGCACCCACCAAAAATATGGAAGCTTTCCTCCAGAAACAAAACTCCGTTTTTGTGCGGGAAGGATGCTGGGTATCGCACATGTCCGACAAGCCTAGGTCGAACCTGGAGACGCATCGACAGCAGTTCCGCCGCTATGGCATGCTGCAGTTGATATGTCCAACCGACGGTTTTTGACCAACCTCGTGCTTTTTGTTGGAAAGCAGCCAAGGAGCTGTTGCGGTTTCTGATCGAACTCCTCCAGAATAAGTACATGTACGTCGTGTCTGCGAGGTGGTCGAACATTGAGCGCATAGCCATCCCTCGGTTGTTGGAACGCTCTCGCTGGGGTCACGGAACTTGACTAACATGACCTCGATATACAGATATACAGGCTCGAGCCCAACTCATTTGCATGTGCTACTCCGTCTTGTTTTGGATGCATACAGTCCGGATAGCCACGTTCTTCCAAAGTTGTTCGTACGATACACGCGAAGGTCAGCGTGTAGCGTTTTCTAAGGCGTATTCTACAAAATACTTTTATTAGGAAAAATACAAAAAAACACAGGTAGAAAGACCACCCGTTCGAGATAATACCACAGCAGTCGAAGGGGATGTGTTGGATGTCTTTGCAGTTAGTGGAGAGAAACCGGCTGGGTACTGGGTGTATTTTGAGTCTGTTTAAGCCTATACACTGCTGTACTAGCTGGTGCTGAGTGCAAAAACATTCTGTATAGGTAACACAGTTCATATTACAAAACCTCCCCTGTAGTTCGCTACTGTACTTGGCCAACGACAAATATATCGGGGACAAGCCCTCGGTGATTCGTGCGTCAAAAAATGCAAAATGTAACCTTCACAGGAAAACGGCGCAGTGTACTGTACACATATGAAAACGTGAACTTCCGGATAGATACCCAAACTTCCGCACGGATAGATATCCAATCTCCGGCCAAAGGAATGTTCCGAGAGAATTTCCCAAGCTGCTGCCATCAACTTGTCGGATCTTGCAATACGTCATCGCTGGCGCGCTCAGCCATGTTTGGCAAAATTCCTCCGCCACACTGCTGCTGCATTATTCCAGAGTAACTGCGCTCAGCCGGCGGCAGGCTTAACCACATCAGCCCTACGGGTACCAAGGGAATTGAGCCAGGCTCCACAGCAGTAGGGGGCGTGACTAAAGAACATCTTCTTCTCGCAAGCGTTGAGACCGCAATGTAACCAACCATGACGTCAACACAACAAACAGGACGGACACAAACAAACACGGTTGATTGTATCCGCGGATGAAAGTCCGGCACGATATACATATGACAACTATCCATCCTCGGGTGAGGTACAGATAGTGGTTGCCCCGCTTTGGATGTTCTTCTCAGTGCATACCACAGGTGTATCATAGGTTGGCAGTAGCTTGCTTGGTGGTCTTGGGGTCGTTCTTTCCAAGATAGTGCGGATGCTGCCCAGGAGAGGATAACCATGTAATGATACCATGGTGTCGCTGAAACGAAAGAAAGGGCCCACCGCTTTCCATTAGCCACCCACAGCCTCTAGATATCAGTTCGTAGTATTGGTGCGGCGGGGCTTTGGACATCCACCTAACCTACAGGTACCGAACCAAAAAAGCATAGGGCGAAATCGACGGATCATGTTGCGAATGTGTTGCCAAGTGGTATTGTTCCGCGCTCGCAGACAGAGAGAGAGGGCGCGCGCGCGAGAAGGAGATCAGGGGTGTGTACGTTGTAAAACACAACACCCGTACACCAGACAGACTTCGCTCACCTGCTTATCCTCCTCCTCCTCCTCCTCCTCCTCCTCCTCCTCCACCTCCTCCTGCAGGCAAGCTGGGAGCTTGTGGACGATGCCCCGCACACGGGGCGGCGAGGGCTGCGGCGACGGTGGCCTCCAAGGCTCCTCCTCCTCCTCCTCCGCAGGCGCGGGTGCTGCCGCCGTTCCCACCGTCACCGTCCAGTCCTGCTCCATCACCATCCTGCTCGGGCCCTGTCGCACCGGGTGTTCGAGGGCGACAAGCCCCGCCTTCGGCTGCAGCGCTCCATCAAAAGAATCCCTTGCGGACTGATAGAGCTCCTTGACGGACTGCTCCTTGTCCAGGCCGCCAGGCGACCCGGGGGGAGTGTACCTCGACTCTCGCCGAAAGACGCGCCTGGGCGGGGAAGGGGCCACGTCATCATCCGTGCTTGTTGTTGTTGCTGCTTCTGAGGAACCCTGTTGCTGTTGCTGCTGTTGCGCGGCAGGAGGACCCAAGTCCAGCACCGGGCTGTTGTTGTTGTTGTTGCTGCCTTCTTGAAGCACCTGCCCTATGTTCTCCGTGAGGCTGCCGCCGGCGGTGTAGGGCGCCGACATCAAGATATCCTTGTGTGCTCGACGTTTGGGGAAGGTAAATGGGTCTCAGGTGGTCCCCTGGAGGCTACCTAAGGCAGGTGTGTTCTCTGTGGAAAGTCTGCAACTGTTCCGAAGTGCAGAGTGTGGTAGACAACCTGGAGCTGGGGAGCGGCGTGTGTTGGGGCTCCGTACTATGGAAAACGGGTTCCAATACTTCCCCCAATTTATTTGTCGTTGGCCCCCCGTGCGTTAGGCCCTGGTTAGGCCGGCGGCCGGCGGTGGTAGCGGCGGGCTGCTCACCTGTCACTAACTGCCGTCACTGGCACCACAATCGTCGTGGGCCTCGCATCGGCCCTAAGGGACGCGGCAGAATAAATGGCGAAAGAGGCGGCGGCAAAGGGCTCTGCAGCCTCGGTGGACGTCCGACCCTCGGAGACGCCCAAGGACCTGAAGAAGAGGGTCAGGGGTTTGGACAAGTCGCTCACCAGCGTGCACGAGCGCTTGGTGCAGACCGAGAAGCAGATCTTCGACCTAGAGCGCAGCTACCTCGAGGAGACCAGGCTCTACGGAAACGTGCTCCAGGGCTGGGATGCCTACCTCGATACCAAGGGGAAGGGAGTAGCAGACGGCGGGAAGGGCGAGGCGGCGGCTGGGGGACGAGGAGGGGGCAACAAGCGAGAGGCAGCTTCTGAAGGAGAGGAAGGTATGTACAGTATGTGTGGGCGTCACGACGAAGTATGTACAGCTGTGTTCAGGTGTGCTGCTCTTAGGCGGGATGTCAAGTGTTGGCCCCTTCACAAAACCACACCTTTATGGATGATATGCAAGCAAGCCCGTGTGACAGATCTAATTTACGCATTAACGCATTTTGGCGTTCTGCGGTTGGATTGGGGGGCAACTATTAACAGCAGTCGGCAGCAGTTCCACCGCATATTCTATTTTCAAATCATTAAGGACAAATAAATACACGCACAGAAAGACTACCAATTCGAGATATACCCACAGTCGAACGGGATGTGGTGGAGTCTTTTCAGTGAGTGGAGGAAAACCGGCTGGGTACTGGACTTCGAGTCTTTTCAAGTCTATACATATTGGAATTTCTAGGCCTTTCCCCCGCCGGCGACTTTTTTTTTTTTTTCGGCGTTTCACGATATTTTTTCGGCAAATTGTATTGATGAAAAATAATAAAATAATCGTTTTCCGGCGACGTTCAGCGATTCAGTATGTTTTTTCGGTGAGTCCTGGTTCATTTTCGGCGATTTTCGGCGATTTTCTTAGGCCACTTGTTAAGCTGTCCTTTTTTGGGCTGTCCCTTTTCTCAAAAAGGGACGAACCAAAAAATAATCTAGCAAAAAGATGACCCACTTGTTACGGTGCTGGTCGATCCTTTTTGCTCATCCGCCAAAAAAAATGACCCTGCAACAAGAGCAACGGCCGTTCGTCACACAGTAAGTACCTTGGCACCGAGTTGGTTTTTCGGTGATATCTCCGCACAGAGCGAAGCATCAGCAACTGTAAAGCTATCCCCCGCGAGCTGGGTGCTTGGTCCGCCTTGTGTGGCGGCTGATCGAGACCACAGGGCAGTGGGAGGCACGGCAACTGAGGTGGCGAGAGTCAACAGCACCTTGAAAAACCCCACCGCGCCAACAACCAGCTTTTTTTGCTCTTTTTTGCCCATGCCGCAACTTTGGTTCATGGATGCTCCCTCGCCACACACTGAAACAACAGCGATGACAAAGGTATCCGCCACGAGCTATGTGTATGGTCCGTCTTGTGTGATGGTTGATACTGACCAGGAGGCTGACGGGCGGTCAGAGGTTGTGAGCGCGAGAGTGGTGGACAAGCGGGAAAAATGACCCGCCGCGTCTCCAAGCATATTTTTTGTTCGTTTTCCCGTGTTGCAACTTTGGTTCATCGATGCTCCCTCGTCACACACCGAAGCAACAGCGATGACAAAGGTATCCGCCATGAGCTGTGCGTCTGATTCGTCTTGTGTGGTGATTGATACAGACCAGGACGCTATAGGTCGCCCAGAAGTTGGGTTCGCAAAAGTTGACTGTGCACCAAAAAGACCCACCGCTGCTGCGTCCAGGCTCTTTCGGCTCGTTTGCCGCTTGTTTGCCGCACACATCGGGTTGTCCACCTGGTCAGCCGAATGACAACATTACGTCTATCGCCGAGGCTACTGACTCCGTACCAGTCACGTGACACGACTCGTGCGAATACCGTTAGAGTTTGCGGGGAACATCCGTCGAGATATTCAAGTTTGTGGGCAAGTGTCATGTGTTGTGACAGAAAAAGGACAACAAAAAAGGACCGTCCCATCCTGTCACAAAGTTGCCCAAAAAGGGACAGGATGGGGCGATCTTTTTTCGCTGTCCCTTTTCGGGAGGTTCAAAAATGCAAAAAAAGACCACCTAACAAGTGGTTCTTGGTCAGTTGTCCCTTTTTTAGAAAAGGGACAGCCCAAAAAAGGACAGCTTAACAAGTGGCCTTAGGCTGCTACCTTTCGCAATTTTTACTTCAGCGACTTCATCGAAGCGACTTTCGCGACGCATATGTGTACTTCTAGTACACACAAACGAGCGGGTCGCGAGGCTGTTGACTGTTGGACTGCTGCAGAGGTCACCTGTCGGCGATAGGCGAAGTAATAATGTGCCCTTTTATTTATTTCCTACAGACAACATGCAATTTTCAATTTTCCACTCAACATCGAAAAATCTTCTGAAATAGGAAAGGATGACGCGCTACTTGAGGGCAAAAAAAAACTTTTACCCCCACGACCTTCGACACAAAAAAGACATCTACATTAAATTTACGAAACACAGGTAGGTCTTCAGTCGCTGTCTTCATCGCTGTCATCGCTTTCGTCGCTACCGCCGCCGTTGATGGCATCTGCCGCGCTACCCTCCTCTGCTGAGCTATTTTGGACCCTGATGCCCCCCCCCCTGTTGTAGACACTAGGATTAAGAGGTGTATTCTCTTGAATGTGATTGTACCTAAGCTAGAGAATGCAGGAGAGGTATGGGAAGGTAACGAAAAGGCCGTCAAGCAGCTGGAAACGGTGCAGATGGCAGCGGCCAAGAAAATACTAGGATGTTCAAGTACAACGAGCAACACTGTATTGAGAGCAGAATTGGGAATGTACTCTCTTAAAACAAAGAGAGACATGCAGAAGTTGAATTGGCAGTACAAGGTAAGTAGAATGTCGGACGATAGACTACCAGCCATGGTTGACAAGGCAGCTTGGGGAAAAGCGACTCCAGGGAAGAAGGGAATCAGATGGGACAAGGTGGTAGAGAAGGTTTGGAAGGAGATAGGAGACGAGGAGGAGACGTTGGACACGGAAGGGTTCGGGGGGTTCAAGACGAAAGTCAAGGAGATGCTAGAAAGTAGGGAGGAGGCAACCCTTCGGAAGAAGGTACGAAGCGAAGACCACTTGGAGATATACGGGAAGTTGAAAGAAGGGATAGGGATGAAGACGTACTTGGACGGCCCCATGGACTACGCGAAAAAGCTGAAATTGCAATTTCGAGTAGGCGATCTGGACTTGCCAGAACGGAGGAAGAGGTATACCAGCCGTAGGAGAGATGAAGAGGAGGATAGACACACATGTTCCATGTGGCAAATCGGAGGAGAGTAGACCCCACATAGTTGGGGAGTGTGAGTTGTACAGGAAGGAAAGAGAGGATCTCGAGGAGGAAATGAGACAGAGAGGGTGTGACATGGACAAGTTTGGTAAATTAGACAACAGCGAAAAAACGATCGCGATAATTGGGGATAGATGGTGGGCACAAGAAGCCCTAGAGGACGGGGATAAGATGTGCAAGAAATTTTCATGTAGTTTGTGGCAGAAAAGTAAAGAGCTCCCAAATGTTGGTGGTGTCTCTAGTAGGGGTAGGAACGGTGCTCCGTCTCGAAAGGGACGCGTGGTCAATGGTCAAATGACTACGGCAAGCAACAAATGAGTACGCCCCCCCCCCCCCCCCCGTTGTTGCCCTTGTCTTTTGGGGGAAAAATTGCCCCCC